TAATATTTTAAATTTATATCAAAATTATCCTAAACTTTAAAAATACCAAAACTATCCCTAAACTTTAATATTTAATACCAAAATAGTTCTTATCTCAACGTGTTACTTGATATTCATTATTTTGCCACAAAATCAATTTCTTTTTCAAAAATTAATAAAATCAAATCAAATAATTATATTTTACTATCATGATATATTTTTCTAATTGTATTTATAAAGTTGAATAAATAAATTAGTACTTGTAATCAAAGTTTTAAGGTCTAAGTCTTCAAATTTTAAGGACTAAATTGGTACTAAATAAAAGTACTCAGGGATTATTTCGGTTCCAAAAAATAAAGTTTAAGGACATTTTTAATACTTTTTAAAGTTTTGGAATAAGTTTGACCTAAATCAGAAAGTTGAGGGACTAACATGGTTATTTAACCAAAAAATTTAGGTCCTTCAACTTTAAAGTTTACATCCTTTTCGTCTCTCAACTTTTTTAATATTTTTTTTAATCTTCAACTATGAAAAATACAATGTTGTATAGTTAATTAAAAGATAAGAAATGCAGAAAACGGTAAGACATGAAAATTTGCCTATATAAAACCTTCAAAACTCACAAAAATCATATATATTCACCCTAAAATATACTCAAAACAACAAATCTGAAAATGCTAGCTAATATCAAATACTTAATATAAAAGTTTTATTATTAATGGTTGAAATTTCACTAAAAATTTATAAAAACATTATTCATAACTATTCATCAAATTTATCTAAAAGAAAATCTAATAATATTAAATAATATCTAATGAACTAATTAATAACAATATTTGATGGTTTAAATTTCAGAGAAAAATAAAACATACATAAAATATATAAAAAATAATAATATTACTTAAATTTTACTTACCACTGCTTGATCCACTATACTGTAAGAAGAAAAATGTTAAAGTGCTTCAAAGGGAAGAATGGAGGAAAGGCGAGCAAGAACAACTCGCGGACAGAAGAGGAAAATGAAAATGAAAGGAGAAAGACCAAAATGAAAGGAGAAGGGCGGTTTGGCAGGGCAATAGGAAAACTTACCGACGAGACCCACATTGCTACAATCTAAAGCTGATCATCTCTACGTTGCATCAGAATTCTCGTTGATCGGGCCAATCACTGACAAAGATCAAGTTGGCAATGTATACATTACTGACCTAAACCTTGTTGGTGAGCTAAATAAAAGCTACAACACCAATGGGCAGTAGACGGATTCGCAGGGAGTTGGGGAATGGGAAATTACCGACAAGGATAATGTCGAAAAATTGCATCAAAAAGCTGCACTCCCTGACGTAGGCAGCCAGCCAGCTGATTGAAGGGCTGCGTTGGGAGTGAGAATTACCGAGAAGATGTACGTTGGAAAATTTATCCTCAATTACCGACGAGACTCTCGTTTCAAAAAGAAATTTACAAGCCTGCTTCTCGTCGATGATTTGGCTTTTTGTTTGTCCCCCACCCGCTGGAGTGTTGGTTGCAATTATCGACAAGGAACACGTATGTATGATCTTAAGTTACCGACAAGTGTTACGTCTGTACAATAAATAATATATCTTACTACTATTTTTACTATTTCTCAACTTTCAGACTTAATACTTGTCGGTAAAATGATGCTTCATCGAGAAAAGTTCTTACCTCGGTGATAAGTGGTTGGTGAAATTGAGTTTTCTTGTAGTGAACTTTAGTAAAGTGTCATTTTATGCACTAATCTCAAAAACTAAGCAATAAAAAAAAAAAAGATCTTGGGACATAAATAGCAATGGCTAAACTAGAGAAGTTAGAGGGAAGAAGAAAAGGAAAAAAAAGAAGTGGTTTGTTGTCTGTGCACCATATATATTGCCAAATAGCATTACAACTCATGTCTGTAAAGAGGTTGAATTTAAAGGATTTTAAAAAATTTAAATATATTTTGTCAAACCCTACATTTGTCGATGTAGCATGCAGTGCTGTATTTTAAAAAATGTTTGTCAAAAGTTTTTTCCAATATTTCAATTTTTACCAACATGGCTTGCAATGTTGGCCATTGAAAAATGCCCACATAAAATTTATTCAAATATACCAGCATTTTAGCAACATGCTCTATGTTGCTAATTCAAAAAGATTGGGGCACTGAAATTTTAAATATTTTGAAGTCACCAAACTGTTGCCTCATGCTAGTTATAAAATTTTGAAGTTTGTTAATCAACAACATACATTAAATTGCTAAAAGGTAGATGTCTCCCATGTAGTATAGGTTGGAACATAATAAGTGGTTGGAAAAATATAACATTGAATATTACATCTACGGTCATTTTATTCATTGACATGTATTACTTTGAAAAATTCTTTTAATGGCTTGTAATGTTTAGCAAGGTAACCTATATTAGTAAATTAAGTTTCAATAGTATGATTCTACCTTGTTGATTGTAACAATAACATTAATTGCATGTATTTACTATTTGACAATTTAGCATTTTAAGTAAAATCGGTAAATTTATACATCATTGACATATTTAAATACAGTACGGATGATCACTTGTTGAAGTTCTGCATTCTAGTAGTACAAACTCAATATATTTTTTATATAGCCATGATGAAAAGTTTGAAAATAAGGAGCTATTTGAAATTTGCTTTTAGCGTTTTGCTAATAGAAAGTTAAGATACTTAAGAATGAGTGTACAAACTAAAACTAATTTTTCCTTCTTTCATAAAAAAAACTCAATATGCTTTTTATATATCTAGGGATGAAAATTTTGAAAATAATGGGCTATTTGGAATTTGTTTATAGTGCTGTGGCTATTAAGAGCAATCATTAGTAAACAAAATATTAAGATTAATTTTTTTTTTGTGTATAAAACTATTAATTTTTTTTTTGAAATTATATTAATATTTTTAATGTTGAAATTATTTTGAATATATAAAAGCAATGCCTAAAAAATTAATCTAACACAAAAGAATTCAAGGGCGCATTGGCAAAGCATTGTGGCTTGTGGGACCGTACAAGTTTATCTAACTTGTTTGGCTCAGTCTTTTAAATAATTTAAATTATTTGGTTCCTATTAATTAGCGGAGTACAAGTTACAATAAATATAAAAAAGATTATTATATTTTGAATAATTAGCAAAATTATAAACATCAATTATGTCGTTCATTGCTTGATAAGTTTACATCAATGATGTGTTATTATAAATTAACTTTTTTATTTAAAACTTTACTTATAATATTATATGTATATATTTATTTAATAATATATTATAATTATAAATTTAAAATTTTATTTGAACTTATAATTTTACGTGATATTAAAACTTTATTTTTACAAACTAATTATAAATTAAA